CAACACCTACGTCATCTGTGAAATCACTGTAGTTTTTATATGTACGTGCTAATTAATAATGATATTCCTTGATCATTGTTACATGATTTATATATAAATACCTCGCAACAAATACATGGATGTCTCGCATTCATATGTGAAATCCTTGTCATTTTTGCCCCGGAAAAACACTTTTACATCTTATTAGTGATCGAGTTCGCATGGGAGAAAATATTACTTGGATGCCTCTTCTGTTTAACTTAGTAAAACTCGGATTCTCACATGAAAAAGGTGGACTAGAATAGTGGACAAATACGAGTAAAAATACAAACGACATATAAGGTTTTGGATAAATAGATTCACGGTGGGTCAAGAAGGTCTAGCAGATCTTTTCGGCTGGCTCTCTCGAGCTCCATTACTGACTGATCAATCCCACAAGTGTATGAGATCGACGTGGTGATAGAACCCAGGAGTATTCCAAGAATTGTATCCAGAGGGAGACAATGATCTTTGTTGTTTACAAATCAATTGACAACTAAGAGAGAGATGATAAAAAAAAATGAGTTAACTAAAGTAATAGAAGTAAACACAATAAAAGAATGAAGATCTAATCAATCAACAAATGCTGGGGATCGGGTTTCCACCCACTGGGACTTTCCCACTCTTACCCAACTAAAACTCTTAATCAATTAAAGCAGTGACAACTAAATCATTTCAATAACCTTTCAGTGAATTAAAGTGTATTTATCAAGAGTCAAATTAGCTCTCATTATATCCTGAAACATCTAATTAAACTCATTATGCTACAATTGAACTTACCAAAAACACTAAAGATTATTTCTAACCCAACTGCTTATGTCTGTTATCCAAAGTCTATATTTACTCTTCTCCTTTTAATGTGTCACGCAAACCCATGAATGGAAAGCAAAGTGGCCAACCAACCAACCTGAATTAATTAAAAGCAAGAATAGATTAAATTGCATTAAAACCATAAATAAGTTAATCAACCACAATAGGAATCTAAAACGGAATGGGTAAAGAGTAAGTTGATCTTAACTAGGCTGCAACTTCCCTTAACTGGAGGATTAAAAACAATAAATCATAATAAACTCAACAAATCTCCAATTCAAGAACAAACATCAGAAGCAAAATAACAAAAGGGAATAGAGAAGCAACTCCTATATTAAAATAATGGTGCTCTCACTGTGTCTTCAGCCGTCTCCTGCCCCAATACGTGGTTCGATCCCCTAACAAGAAACCCTAGCTCCCCTTTTAAATGTTTTCCCTTTCTCGCATTGAGATTTTCGCTTCAAACATCATATCTTCTTATTTAATTTGCCCTAAATTTCCTTCAGCGTTTTGAGTAAGCTCTGCCACTTGTTTCTGCTCTCAACCCTGGACGGTCATGTCCATTGTAATTGCGTTCTGCCCGCAGACGAGAGACGAACAATCCTTCTCACCCGTGACCTTCATTCGCGAATGGGCAAAAACTGCCTTCATCTCTCAATTGCTACCGGTTGAGACTAGTGCTGTCCTATTCCATGACCAGTTTCACACACAGGCTTCCTATTGCTCCAGATTCCTTCATCCATAAATTGGTGGAGATTCCTTCGTGTCTTCATTCATGGATGGTTTGGATCCAAGGCTTCTTAACTCCTTTCTCTTACCACTTCCGCGCACGGTACTCAAACCTTGAGGGTCATCCGCGAACGATGATGATCTTATGGGCCTATTTTGGGCCCTTAGTCTGTTTGGCTTCATTTTGTGTTTGATTTTTCTAGTGTTAACTTCCTTTTCTTGATTTCCAGAGATGAGGAACAAGATATAGGTCATGATTTTTCTCAATTTTAACGCTATGATAACTTAATTAACACTATAAGTTGTATCATAATATAAGCAAAATAGCAGCTCATCATTGACATTAAACCCTATTTGACAATAACCAGACATCGGTTCAGGTCAGTGAAAACCTATATATGTGCCTGTTTAGTGGTTATGTACAAATGTACAAGGGAAAGCATATGAATATGAGTCTATATTGATGAATGAGGATGAGATTGTTTTGTTCAAGTATGAGTGAAAATTTAGAAATTAAAAAAAAATTAAATTAGAAAGAAATCATTGATCAACGCAAATTTTGGATTAATATAGCATCAGATCTATTTATGTATCCTAACTCTAGTAGAGAAAGCCCTAGCAAATGGATCATGATCACTCAAGATAAACCAACTAGGTTAGGTCTAGCATAATGGACTAGTCATTCAGAACATGATAAATTAAAGTTTAAATTCTTGTAGAAGACATGCCTACATTTAATGCCTGAAATATCTTGAATAGAATTACTTTCAATTAAAAGATTCCTGTTGGAAATTAAAAAAAAAAAAAGGATCACTCACGATAGTGCATGTGGATCGGATATAACATATAAGGCTCTATTGTGAGGACCACTAGCTCTTTCAATGAAGAATTAACTCTCGTATGTCTTTACTTGGTTTTGAGATTGCAAGGAGATAAGAGATCATTGATGAAGACTGATCCTAAAAACATATTGGGTTTAAAGGCTTGGTCATATCTTGAGTAGAATTAAAAGTTCTAAATAATTTATGTCTAAAAAAGTTTTCTTTATCTTTCCAATTCTATTCCTTCAACTAATGCTCAGCATTTTTTGCATGGGAAAGGATGCAAATATATTTACTCTAAGATAGATCAAGTCTTTTTATTAATCGACTGGGGGTATCTAAGGAAAAATATTAATTACTCCTGAAATTTTGTAAAATATTTTATAATCCTGTGAAATTTTGTCTAATAGAATTAACAGATGGAGCATATCTCAGTACCGATAATGATTCTAACAAAGTTTCAATGCTTTGTCTCATTATTATATATGTAGCATGGTTTTTCATCTTATTACAATGTACTATGTAGCCAAGTTTCTCTGCTTCTCCTCATGACACAAATAATATTCAAATATCTTCGTTCAAAAAATTTTAAAACTAAATTCATATTAAAATAATGACGATTTGTGTCGGAAAAATGGCCGCAAACGCAAAGTATAATAATGTTTTGAGTATCATCATTGATTCATTTCACTTACAATCATAAAGGCATCGCATCGCAAGCGGAGGCACAGGGTTTTCATGTTCATGGATTGGGCCTACAGGTCCAAGTAGGAGAGAAACTATTTTGGTCCAACTACGGGCTTTCAATGCTCTCTCTGTCCCCCATGGGCTTTCAATGCCTCACACCATCTGTCCCGGATTCTGGTTCTTCCTCGGCATCGATCATCTATTCTCTTTTCCCGAGGGGCGTCTTGTGGTGGCGATTCATCGTGTTAAAAATCCGAAACGGTACAGTTCCATCCTAACCCTAAGTCTATTAGGATTTAGGACGCATTTCAATTGATCATAGATAAAAAAAAAAAAAAAAACTATCTTTGAATTTAGCAATTTCACTAGGAGTAAACCCACAGAAAGTTTGAAGCCGTGCCAACCCTGTTTCAAAGGTTGGCTACTTTGACTTACGTGATGAATCGTTCAGTATTCACTACACGATAGATCTTGTCCCTGATAATGTAGGGCTCAGTATTCTGCTTTCCTTAGTACAGAGGTTGGGTGCTTTAAGTTGACGCTCTTTCATTAGTACTATGCTGGTGTTCTTTCAGCAGACTACAGATATGATTTTCTCTTGTCTTAAACAAGCCTCACAATTCTGTCATATTCATTTACGGGTATTCATTTACCTACAACCTTGAGAATTATCAAATATCTTTCTCTACTGTCATCTTATAGGATTTAAGCCATTTTGTTCATTTGCCCTTTTAATCCTGTTAATGGGTGCTCGCATGGACACTTTATTAGGAACGCGCGCTTATGACGGAGTTTGAGGTGGCATCTTCGTTAATGGGAAAATGGACACTTAAATTCTGAAAGGTCATCTCATCCAAAAATAAATAAATAAATAAATAATCTGAAAGGTGATCAGGAGGTATTTGCTGGTTTTCAAACTTGACAAGCGTTTGCAAATGGATCAAAGTTAAAAGGGTTTCTCTCCATTTTCTCTTAAACTTATTGCCTTCTAACCTGTTTAAGCAATGATTATTTTTTCTTCTATTTTTCCTCTCCTTGAGAATCTGATTTTCAAGGTTATCTCTTATCAGTTTCCCCGTGAAAATTAGAAGAAAATCTTGCAATTCTGCTATGCACTTTAATGAAGTGTCATTTTAACTATTTTACATGCAGTCAGTTGGGTTCACTGGTGCTTTTACTTACATTCTTGCTGTCCTATGGATTATGTTTAATGAATCCATATGGGTAATCCTTATTTTCCCGCTCATGTGAGTTATTTTCATCATGACATTTCTCTTGATAGCAGGTGATTTTCTCTCTTGCTGATGATATCTTCAAGCTCTACACATTATTGTTGTGCAATTGATCCGCTTTTTTCTTTCAACTACATCGTTATTTGACCAAAGATTTTATCAAGTTCCTAGATTTTATTGACAACTCTGAAAATCATTTCACTTTATCTTTTACTGGTTTTTTCCGAATATGTTCATATGTTGATGATATGAATATAGGTCTTAAAATTTATTTTTTAAAAATTTCGAACTCAATGTAACAAATGTCAATGCCCCGTGCATCTTAGAAATTCTAATTATCCATGATTCCTTAATTCTGAACCACATCTTCCTTTGAGCATCCTTTTGTCCTCAACCATAGGCCAAAGCCAATCACGGGATTATCATTGTCTTCATCTTTATTTTTAGAAAAGTGGAAAACTTTTGAGAGGTTGCCTTCCAATTGGCCTCTCTATGTGCTAGACTTGAAAATACATTTTATTTGAATACTAAAATCTTGATATTATGTCATGCAACACCTGTTGGAAGAGAAGCTTCACAAAAAGAATGCAAGGCGAGTGGTGGTGATCACTTGTTCATCGACTGAGCAGTAAGCACATAGATATCACCGCTCATAATATTGAATGATCCCTCTCATAAATTTCTCGTCATTTAGATCGCAACATGAAAAATAAAGCACCTTCTCATAAATATATTAAAGTAGTCCAATAAATGTCTCCGCCAAACTCAAATCTTTTGAGTTTAGGAGAAGATGGATGGTAAATTTACTTTGAAATGCTAATGCAACTACGGCTTCTTACTCATGAAAGGCTACTTTCGCAATACCATATTCTATATAATGCTTTCACAATTTAGGATTAAAAACTAGCATAAATTCACACACAGACACTCTAACTAGTCATTCACTTCTTTGTTTCTGGGCTAGAACTTCTTCGCCAAAACTTGAAGTTCAGGGTCCTTTTCTCCAGCATCTTCTCCACTTCTTCTATGGGAAGCCCTTTAGTCTCTGGCACGAAAATGATGACAAAGACAATTGCCGCAACAGCGACGAAACCAAACAACATGAATGTCCAGGCAACCCCCATAGCTTCTGTCAAGGATAAGAAGGACTGGGACACAATCAGATTTGACACCCAAACTGCTGTAGATGCCATTCCTCCACAGATTCCTCTATACCTCAAAGGATAGATCTCAGAGTTTATAACCCATGGAATAGTTCCCATCCCAGGTGAAAAGAAGATGATGTAAAGTGCAAGCCCCACTATTGCAACCCAACCAGCTTTGCTAGGACACCCTCTTGTGTACCACAGCCTGTGGTCATCGTGGCACTGACTCTTGGTTGTATCATTGGAGATCAAACATGCCCCAGGCAGAAGCTGCACAAGAATTTACAGTCAACAACTCATAATGATGATGAAAACAACATTTTTATATGACCATGAAGTGATGCCTAATGTCTAGATCAGCAACAAAATTAATCATTATCTTTTACTTAATCACTTCAACTTAGGATCAAAGCAGAGGATGTGGGATATCTTACATTGTTAGCTCTAGAAGCACAGAATCCACAATCTGCAGAAGCCTTCAGGCACTTCATACAGGTCCATCCACCATTAAGATCTGCGCTGTAATTGGGGCAGATAGTGCCGTTGAAGTGTCTGGTTTCAATGGCGCTAACAGCTGGGGAGTGAATTTCAGTCTCATGAAAAATGACAGTTAAAAGAGCAAGGGAGACCGCAACGCCAGACAAACTGATTAAAGCAAGCTTCTTCCTTCCGCTCCTATCAATGAAATATATGCTCACTATAGAACCAAAAGCGTTTAGTCCGGCTGTGACAAGTGATAGAAGCAGTGCTGTTTGGTTGGATGCAATGCCTGCTAGTTGAACAATGGTGGGGCTGTAGTACATGACAGTGTTGATGCCCACAAATTGTTGGAAGATTGCAAGCCCCATTCCTGCATATAGTCCTCTTCTTACAGTTGTAGTTTTGAAAAGTTGGACAATGCTTATCTTCCCTGATGATTCTGTTTCTTTAATTTCTGTTTCCACCGACTCCTTCAACGCTTGGATTTCAGTCTCAACTTCTTCCGGTGAGTAAATCCTCCTTAGAATTGCTTCTCCTTCCTCATGCCTCCCCTGTTTTATCAACGGCAAAGCAAAAGTTGGAACACTAAGTTAAGACGTGACTTCTTTGAAAATATTGAATGCAACAATATCTTCTAGTGATCGTGAACCAACCTTACGGAACAACCAGCGAGGAGATTCTGGGAGCATCAGCATTAAAACGATTTGTATAAGAGCTGGCATTGCAGCTACTCCTAACATCCACCTCCATGTTCCTGGTGCCTGAACATATCATCGTCATTCACACAGTTCCACCCAAGAATATCATAAAACATGTAAGGTATATAATAGTCTACACAAGTAGAGTTTACAATTTTACACAGAAACATGCTTAAAACAAAAGATGTTTAGTCACCTTGGTGAAGGCCAAGTTGATAAGGTAGGAAAGGAACTGTCCCCCCGTAATGAGGAAACTATTAAGGCCAACAAGGGCTCCCCGAACTTTGGTGGGTGAAGCTTCAGATATGTAGAGAGGAGAAGCCATGGAAGCCATTCCAACACCGAGGCCAACAAAAACTCGACCAACGATGAGAATTGTAGGATTCATAGCGGCTGCCATGATCACAGAACCAGCAAAGAAGAGGGCATCTGCAAGGACGATTGCTACCTTCCTCCCAAAACGATCGTTGATCCATCCTCCAACGGCAGCTCCTATGATTGCTCCTGCCAGTGCCATACTCACTATGGATTCCTGTTTTATCAAACACAACACCCATTTTTTACCTTTTTTTTTTTGGGGGGGGGGTAACTTTTCACATTTACAACTCACTCATATAGTCATAATTAGTTTCACTGTTCCAATAACTTCCATGTCATTCAACAATTTTTCTTGCATAAATTTACAGATACGGCCATACAGGTCGAGATTAAACAATTATATTTTTTGACCTTGCGCTTTGTCTTGTGTTGGGGTAAATGATGTAAAGAGTTAAACGAGTTCAAACTTCTATCTTGCGTATTGCATCGGGAAAAGAAAAAAAGTAGTCTCGACATTCTTGATGATGATGAGTAGAGTAAATAGCTGACGCCAGTTATATGATTTTATTAGGGTCAATTTTAATTTTAAGTTACTAAATACTTTATTTATTTTAAATTAAAAGATATTTTTAGAAAAGATTTAGTATCCCAAAATATAAGATACTTTAATAAAAATAAAGTTTTATTAATGATATTTTTTAATATTACCTTTTTCATATATTCTCTCTCTTCAATATTTTTTTTTATAAATGGAGTATTAAATGAAAGATAATTTTAAAAGTTTATATTTTTATTTTAAAAAAATAAGATTATAAAATATATTTAATAAATTTTATTAGTATATAAGATTTTATTTTAAAATATTTTATAATTTAAAACGAGGGAAGCACTATCTAGAAGGATCCTACTTTCGGCCGGGAACAAAAAAAAAAAACGGAAGAAGCCTACTTATTTCTTCTCCCGATGTGTTCGAAGATAAAAGAAAAAGAAAAAGGAATGGAAAATTTTGATGGGCTGAAGAAGTTGGATGTCTAACTTAGATTTACAGGACAAGCTACCTTATTGGGCCAATAAAATATTGACCGGTGGACAGGCCCAACAAGATTGAGACACATGTCACTTTCGGTTGGGGTGTATCTAGTAGTCATTATATCTTTTGACCGGAAAAAAAAAAAAAGCAAACAAAAGTAGGAATCTGCTTCACCGTTTCCTTCAACAAAAAGAAGTAAATAACCAAATAATTACGATCCCATAAACATAAATTAAACGTATCTCTTCCGTCTAACCCGGATCAGGTGATTGTTGCGATGTACGCAGGGAAAAAAATAGTTTACTCAAGCAATAAAAAAGAAGAAAGAAAAGGAGAGAGGAGGAGGTTACATAAATTACAACTTTTTTCTGATAATACATCAATATTAATATTACTAAAAATTTTGGGAGTCCGTGAAGAGGAGACCAAATCTTGCTAATTAGAATTGAAGCCCCACTCTCCTCGTGACAACAGTCCAAAAAGCAGACTCGGGCAATATTTCCAATGGTCAGAGCACAATTGTAAATTATAATTTGCTCTTGACCATTAAAAAAAAATGAAAAATAAGGGTTTTAATTTGATATAAACAGTAACAGATAGAAGTTGAGTTGTGAAGGACAGGCTGTGATTTGTCAAACTGATTTGAAATAAGGAAACCAAAGGCTTGTTTTCTTGTGCAACTTGGTGGTGGCTCTGAAGTGAGGTGAATGCAAGGGGTGATTTATGTCCATTAAAATATGGCAGAAATTCACAAGAAACAAGAGCCTCGGATCAAAGCAATGAAGAGAAAAATTAGTCTGTGACTCTGTGAAAATAAGCATTAATAATTACCTGCAGCCAGGTCTTCCTATCGACAGCCTTGAAATCATCTCTGATATACAGAAGAGCCCCAGATATCACACCTGCATAGATAATAAAACAGAGCAAAACAGGGTCAGAGAAACGCATAAATAAACGTTTTAAAAACAGAGACAAGCAGGGGAACGGGTCGGAACAAGAGAAAATATGGGTTTTAAATGGGATATACGGATTATAAATTGATATTAATACCGCAGACAGAAAAGTGATATGACTTTTTTTTTTTTTGGGTCGAAAAAAGAGAGATGATTTACCAGTGTCATAACCGAAAAGAAGGCCACCGATTCCAGCAGAGAAAGCGAGGCGAAGAACATAAGGGTTCTTCCATGACAGGGCCAAACATTCTCTGAAAGCCGACATGTCGGCGTCCGTTGGCACCCCTCCTTCCATGATTTGGTCGTCAACGCCACTCAAGCAGACGCTGACTTAGTTATACTGATCTTCCTACAGACCCTGTAAAAGGACAAGCTCGTTTTCTGTCTGTCCAGAGACACAGACCCTCGAGGGAGGAGGAGGAGAAGAAGCTGAATGGGGGAAGAAGAGAGAATGAGAATGATAGTGAGTCAGGGGGAGAAAGGAGGGAGGAAGGCGCAGTGTATTTATAGACTGAAAAACGAGGAAACGGCGAGCTTTGACAATCGCGAGTGGTGAATCAATCAAATTAATAAATAAATAAATAAGAAAAGAGTAATCTTTTTGAGATTCTGTACCAAACAGTAATTACGCTGGGGAAAGGGACGGTAATAAATACGATTGGGAAGAAGGGCAGAGTTGTAAATAAAAAATTATGTATGTTCGGGTGTTGGCGTAGGCCGCTACAACAACAGTAGCGCCTGCATCTTCGTCAAACATGGAAGCGGACGTCCCTATTTTTTCTAACCGCTGGCTCTTCATTCTCATCCGTTTTAATACAAAGTAGTCTAAATATGAGATGAAATCTTCTCCCGATTGCACCATTGTTTTGGAATCATTATAAATTACGAAAATGATAAATTCTCATTCTCATCCACATTCATCCAATCACTGTATCCCTGCTGGTCATTTCAGAAAGTAAAATTAACCTCAAGATGTTATCTGCACAGTAGTAATATGGTCAATAGTAGCATGTAACGCTCATATGATGGATTTTATATATTCTCCTCGATTAAATGTTTCAATTTCAATCAAGAAAAATTAATTATCTAGTCTTTAAGGTTTTAATCCGAATATAACTTAATTTTTAAATTTTGATTCGTTGTAATTTGGTCTTGTTAGTTTTAATTTTATTCTAACTCAATTCTTAAATTTTGACTTTTGCAATTCAATTTTTATAATTTTAATCAATTAAAATATTATTTTTTATATTTTAAAAAATAAAATTATAACAAATAAAATTATGTTAAAATACAGAACTAATTTTATTTTTTATTACTAAACAAAGTTTATAAAAAATTATAAAGATTAAAATTTTAAAATAGTTTTAATATTCATAATTTTATTTTTTAAAATATAAGAACTAATATTTAAATAGCTAAAACTATAGAGACTGAGTTGCAAAAGTCAAAGTTTAAGGATTGAATTATAATCGAGTCAAAACTATAAAAATTAAGTTACAATAAGTTAGAGTTTAGAGATTAAATTATAATTAAGTCAAAACTATAAGCACCAAAAAATTAATTTTTTCTAAAATAATTACATCATGTAAATTAGAATAAAATATATTGACATTTCTTTTATTTTTATTTTAATTACGAATGTATTTGTTTTATTGTAAAAAATATACCAACCTCTTCTAAAATTAAATCACATAACATAAACTTGTCTATCACTTTTAAAATTTTGGTTTCACTGATTTGACTATTAATTTATTTTAAATTTATACATGTTTGTCTAAAAATTATTTAAGTAATCTAAAAAATTTAATACATATATATTTGTTACTTAATTATTTATATTTTAATTAATTTAGTTATGCAAAATATTTACTCAGTAAATTGTTAAAAATTTAAATTTATAAGCTGGTAAAAAATATTTCAAAAACGTATGTATAAAGAAAGCTGCATAAAATAGGAATTTACTATAATGAGATGCTTAATTTTTAAATTTTATTGATCTTTATTCAAAAAAAATTAGTAATTTTAGCACAATATATTAAAAATTATTTATTTAAATATTATGATACTTAATTATTAATAATTTTCAAATTAAGGAAGAAATTAGATAATTAGAAAATAAATACAAATAAATAATTTTAACTTTTTTCAACATATATAATTACAAATAAAAAATTAAGTCTTTTAAAATATTTAGTGAAATATTTTTATTGGTATTAAAAACTTGATTAAAGTGTTATTGATTCTTGAATTAGAGGATAGTTCCATGTATTTTTAGTTTAAAAAATTAATTCTGGCTAGCATCAATGATGCTTGGATTTAATTTTTAATGTAATTAATAGTACTAAATTTTGTAACTGATTGAATAATTTCCCTTCGAAATTATTCACAAGAAAAAGGGGATAACATGTGCAAATTGGCATTCATGGTAAGTTAAAATAAAAGAGGACAGCAGTTCGCTTAATCTGGCAATCAACTTATTCAAGCTAATTACGCAGTGTGTAATTAATAGTTGATAAGCTATTATCGTCTCTTGTGCATACACTTATCCCATTGTTTATATGCATATAGCGAGGTCTAATTAGTAATCAGATTATTTCCAAATTCAAAGGATTGAGTTAGTAATAAATTTATGCTGGTCGGTGGTGGTAGTTTTGTATTATTTGAGGCGTTATCATATTCATGCATCATAATATCCTTCTTTTTGAGGTTAGAAATGGTTTCAAAATAAGGTTAAATGGCAAATTTACTCATAAAATCAAGAAGTGTTTGAGATTCTAAATTTATTTACAGTGCAATGTTATTCAAAAATATTTTAAAACAATCTAATATTATATCTACCACTAATAAATGTTAATTTGATAGTTAATTAATCAAAAACTATAAAAAATGATATCAAAAATTATAAAATGTGACCGAAAAATTTTCTTGATCTTTTTTTTTTTAAATTTTTGGGTGATTTCTGAATTTTTCTTCTTCTTTTGGTAATTTATGAGATCCTTTTTTGTAAATTTTTGACTAATTAATAGTCAAAATTATTTTTTATTAACAATAAAGTAACATTGCATTATTTTTAAACATTAAAAAAGAAAATTGTACTAAAAACAAATCAAGGTCCCAAGCATTACTGACTTATAGTTTAAAGGAGAAATTGTCTTTTAACCCCATCAAAATATTTAGATATTAAGAGATATTTGTCAAAATATAGATTCAAATCTTTTTGTTCATGGTGAATAATAAATACCAAGCGTATCAAAGACGTTGAATCTTAATTGATAATAAAAAGATTTCAAGCTCTCTTATCACAATTTACTTGAATATAAAAAAATACAAGGCTTTCGTAGAATAAGTGTTTGATTTTATTGAAATGTGAAAAAAGTTACAAGTCTAAATTAAACGACTAATTGATAAACTAAAGGACTAAAAAGTGTAAAATTTAAGTTTTTGATTGAATGTTGACTAGTTTCTTCTGTGTCTTTTTCTTATATTTATAGTGTCAAAGTAACAGTAGCCTCTTTCTTAAGACCTAGCACATTTTGCTGAAGAATCAAGGATCTTGCGAAACTCATGGCACAGTCTTTATTCCATACTCTCCATTTTGGTAATCAACCTGTTTCACTAAGATACTTGGGCGTTAGGTCCATAGATTTTTGTATTAGTTGAAATTGTGTCTTTCGCGCCAACGGTCTAATATTTACGGCTAACGGGATTTCAGCATGTTTTCTTATTATGACCTTTATTGAGCATCGAGGCTGACCCTTTTTATTTATATTGGGCTTGATACTTTAATTACTCAGCCCAATTAACCCTGTGACCTATTTGAGTGACGTTTCATATTTAGTACAAATAATGCCTCTACATGCCAGTGGTTGATGACATAAGCCATGTGGCACATTTGAAAAAATTGAAACGTCACTTTATTTTTGAGCGCCCTTTGTTAATATAAACTCATTTCTTTTTTTTTTTTCTAGTCACTTCTCTTGCCCTTTCTACCGTTTCTTAAACTTCAAGCATTCGTTCTTCAGCATCCCTCTTACCTTAACTCTCAAATGGCCTCCACCTTTGCCACTTTTTCTATTGCAGCTTTATCTTCCACATCCACTGGAAGTTTGCTTGATTCTTTGGCGATTATCATGAATCTCATTACCCCACTTGGCAAGTTTATGACAGTATGTACTCAGTAGTTTGAAAACCCTTATTCCCCCAAGATTGGTTCCTTATTCTAATAGTCATTCATTTTCTTTACAGGAAGATTCTTCATTCCATGAATCTGTGGCTTTTTGTTAAGTTTCTCGCTTCTCATGTTTAGCCCTTTTGTTTTAGTGGAGAAGTACGCTAACTGTTCTTTGTTTTTCTCCAATACTTCTCTTTGGAGCTTTTAAATCTCCAATAAAAGTGATGTCGGGTAGCTGATCATCTCTCCCAACCTGTTCGAAGTCACAGCCTCTACTCAGTCAAATCTATGGCCATTAACCCCTATTCGTAACTTGGTCTTGGCCCAAACGACTTCACCCTTTCCCGAGTCATCCTGTAGAAAACTCAGGAACTGGTCCCAGTCTCCTCACACTTGGGTCAACTAGGTGAGGTGCTTGAAGTCGGAGTATGTGCCCCAGTAGAAGGAGATGGGTCTTTATGACCTAATTCAATTATCCCTCACTGATATCATCATCTCGGTTAAGCTTCTGATGGCCCTCTTAAGTTTTTGGGCTCTGGGTTGCAACACCTTCATCTTCAAGCTCAGCCCTATATCCCTTATGCTATGTGACGTTTCCATGTTCTTAGGGCTGCCCATTACCGAGGAGGAGAACTTTTACACAATCCCTAAAAAGCATGACTCCTACACTACCTTCTTAGTTGACTTGGAGAGTAAGATCAATATTACGGGCTCTTACATAAAGATCATGGAGTTATTCTCTAAGAAGTCAGTCATCGAGCCCATCATTGCCATGAAGCACTTGGTCTTCATATGGCTCCTATTGAGCTAATGGATCCTGACCCTGAGGAGAGGAAAGCTCGTGCAATTGCACTTGAGAATCGCCTAATCCCTGCTCTATGGTAATCAAATAGCCCTAGGGATGATGTTTCTATGCCACCTCTATGACAGCATGAGGGAGTTGCTGATGAAAAAACTTTTTAGCTTCTATGAACTCATTTGGATTCCAAAGTTATGGATGACTGCCTACTTTTTACTTTTTCGGCGATAGCCTTTTCCAGATGATTCTCACGCCAACTACCCCTTCACTTGTCTTCTGGGTGGTCATCCTTTGACTGACTTGAAGAGCTTCTTTAAGTTCTTCAATCAGTAGAGCTGGTCCCTAGGGAGGGCCTTAAAGGCTTTCAATATTCTAGATCGTCGCCTCCCTACCTGGTACAAGCATATAGTGGATCAGAAGAACAAGCCCGCCAAGCTACTAAGGGTTGAGGTTTTCTTCTTGACCATTACTCCCAGAAAGATGTGGCTGCCATATACTGGCTCTTCCTTCAAGTTGT